CAGAGTAGAACCCCACGTGTGTCAGAGTAGAACCCCACGTGTGTCAGAGTAGAACCCCCACGTGTGTCAGAGTAGAACCCCACGTGTGTCAGAGTGGAACCCCACGTGTGTCAGAGTGGAACCCCACGTGTGTCAAGAGTGGAACCCCACGTGTGTCAGAGTAGAATTGCTCCACCCGGTTTCAGAAGCAGATCTCCAGGCCTGTCTGCCGAGGCACCAACCTTTCAGCTGGTAGTCAAGCACTTAACGGCTTGTGCCATCCAGGCATTCCTATAATCATCCTGCTGTTGTTATTCTTACATGCCGTCGAGTGGGTTCCAACTCACAGCGACCCTGTATAGGATTTCTGAGGAGCAATTAGTGAGTTTGAACTGCCAACCTTGCAATTAGTTGTTGCTCTATGTTGTTAAGTGCCATCAAGTGGGTTCTGACTCATAGTGACCCTGTACAGGGTTTCCAAGAAGCAGCTGGTGAATTTGAACCACTAACCTTGTGGTTCAAACTGACTTTGCAATTGAGTGCTTATCCTACAGCGCCACACCAGGACCCCATAATCAGCCTTTGTTGTTTGTTGTTCTTAAGTACCATCGAGTCAGTTCCAACTCATAGGGACCTTGTATAGGGTTTCCAAGAAGTGGCTGGTGAGTTTAAACCGCTGACCTTGTGGTTCAAGCCGAATAGTATGGTTTGTAGAATAAGTACGGTCTAGTGCTTCTTCTCCAGCGCCATCCTATAATCATCCTGAGGGGTAATTCTCATCAACCCCAATTTACAGATAAGGAAACAGAGGGTCAGCAGGGTCAGGAGCATGCACAAAATTAACCACTAGTAAGAAACACGGCTGAGATTCTAACCCAAGTTCATCTGGCTCCAAAGTGTTCATCTGTTCATGGCACACTGTTAGCTTCACAAGTTCTCACCACCCAAGTCAGAGTCTGTGAAACCGCAGAAATGGTGGAACCACGTCTGCCTCCATGGACTCTAAAAAATTTAACTGGTGAGTTTTAGTCTCTTGGTTTCCACTAGGTTTAAGTGAAAAGGATACAGATATTTCTTTAAGAACCATAGGCTTCAAGACACATGGGTTTTATGTACATCCGTGGCCGTGAGCCGGTGGTTGGTTGGGTCTATATTTAAATGATGCACTTCAGGTATGGAAAAGATTAGGATTGTTTCAAGCAGCACAGGGCTTAAGAAGCCTTTCTTTGTTGTTGTTGTTGTTAAGAGCTGTCAAGTCGGTTCTGACCCATAACAACCCTGTATAGGGTTTCTGAGGAGTGGCTGGTGAGCTTGAGCCACCAACCTCAAGGTTCAAACCGACCTTACAGTCCAGTGCACTAACCCGCAGCACCACACCAGGACTCCAAGCCTCTCTAATTACCGATAATTTACTTAATAAGATTAAAAATCTAAATTCACCCAAGTAAGGACTGAAGGGAATCTCCTGGTAACTTCTGGGTCCACCCCAGTTGACTACCCTTGAAAGATCTGGGTGAATTCTTCACTAAGGAAGCATATATTTCCTTCTACACATTTGGGGAAGACAAGAGCACAGGCAGGTCACCTACCTCAGAAAAGAACTCATCCATGAAAGCCGTGTTGTCGATGGCAATCTCGACCTCATCAGCATCATCATCCTGAGTCAGCTGCTTCTGCAAGGACCAGAAGAAGAGCGTGTGGGAATGAAAACCACCTGATTAATAATGGTTACAATACGCAGTGAGCATTGATAAATGTCAGGAGCTCCACTAAGCACGTGACACACATCATCTTCTGTAAAGCAGTCCTGGGGTGGCGCTGTGGGTTAAGGCGCCAGACAGCAAAACCGTTTGAACTATAAGGTCGGCAGTTCAAGCTCACCAGCTGCTCCTCGGAAACCCTATACAGCGTTGCTATGGTCAGAATCGACTCAACAGTATTTAACAACAACAACATCTTCAGTAAAACTCCTGACACTGCCAAGAGGCATCAAAACCCTGCTGCTGTGAGACTGTCTTCTTTGCAAATTCTATTGTCTCCACTTAGTGACTTTCATAGGACAGACCGGACAAGTGACTAAAATGCCAATGATAACACTCCCTGCTTCATTTGCTGTTGTTGTGAAGTGCCGTCCAGTCGATTCCGACCCGTAGCGCCCCTGTATAGGGTTTCCGAGGAGTAGCTCTGGTGGCTTGAACTGCCAACCTTGCAGTTCTAACAACTTTGCAGTCTGACGCATTAACCCACAGCGGGTTGTTTATAAACACTTTATTCGTCCTGTTGCTGTTAAGTGTTGTTGAGTTGGTTGCGACTCATAACAACCCCGTTTAGAGTTTCCACGGAGTGGCTTGTGGGTTTGAACCTCTAACTTTATAGCTCAAACCAATCTTGCGGTCCAGTGCTTATCCTACAGCACCACACCAGGACTCATTTAGTCGGGCATATAGTAAATAATAAATGCTAGGTTTTCTGGTTGATTGTAAAGCCGGAATACCTGTGTAAGGCAGAAACCTGTCAGAGAAGAAAAACTCAAATCTTTTCCACTAAAAGCAGAAAACATGCGAGACAGAGAAATCCAAGGTAGTCCTGTTGAGTTCCAGCTCTCAGGTTTCATGGCTAAGGCCACTCCAACTGAAGAACCCAAAACTTAGAATGTTCTAAGTTTACAACCTGGCTACAGTCACATAGCTAGCATGTGGGGTGGGAAGATCTGTACCTTGGATCCCATGTTCCTAATCACTTCTCCACACTGTTTAGCTGTGTGGTCCCTCCACAGGGCTTTACATTTAAACAGCTTCTAGCCACAGCTCCTCCAGAGGCCACGCTCCAAACACTCACCACGCTGCTGGTAAGTGCCATCGAGTTGGTTCCAACCCATACCGAGTCTGTGTCGGGTTTCCAAGGAGCAACGGGTGGGTCTGAACCACCGACCTTGCGGTTCAAACTGACCTTGCAGTCCAGCGCATTATCCTGCAGCGCCACACCCTCACCACAGAAGCAAAGATTTTCCTGTTTCCTCTCACACGGGAAACCAGCCTGTGTGCTGTTCACTGCTCATGTTTATAAGGAAACGGACGCGCTCCCCCCGTCAGTTCACAGCAACCTGAGACCCCAGCTTTCTCAATCTCACCCAATTTCCTCTGCAAAAATCACAAAATGGAGAGGGGAAGTAGCTAAAGGAAGTGCTTCCATTCCCACCCAGTATCTAGGCCCAAGTGCTTTCTATATTCTTCTGGAATCTTCTCTCCCCAGGCTGCACTGCACACTGCCGATCTCCAAGCACAAAGGAGAGCTGATTGTTGGGAATGAGGAGATGGGTAAAGCTCCCTAGATCTACTTCTTCACAACCTATAGTGGTCTGTGGCCTTCTAAGCCCAAGGCATGTCTCTTTTAAACATTCAGAACTCCAGGAGCAATAAAAGCCACCAGGGGTCTCTTTCCTCTGCTCCCTACAATTCCTGTGAACAAGTCTTCAAATCAGTTCCATACGGCTCAGTCATGGTCGAAGGAAATGAGAGCAGCACAGACCCCACACAGCAACTGCAAATCTTGGTCAGGTTTTGACCTCCGAAGGGAACATGGAATGGTGTCCACTCAAAGACAGCTGTAGCCAGTCACACTGAAAGCGGCTCTGTCAGACACCATGTTTGAGCGGGGCATCACTGCCTAGTTCTTACTCAAGTCAAAAGTCAACTCACAAGAGAGGGGGTTGCTATATAAGGCTGACACTGCCCTTGTTTCCAGTGACCATGGCTGAACCATAGCTAGTTCAAAGCCGTAGCAGAAGATGGAGTTGCTGTCTCTTGGAAATGCAGAGCTCTCCAGGTCCTTCAGGAGTTTCTTTCGATTGGCTTGCCCAGCATCTCATCCTCTGGCTTGTCTGGAACTTTCAGCATTCCAAGCTAAATTGTCACATTCAAGGAGAATGAGGACATCGCTACAGCCTCAGGTCCCTGGGTAGCACAGATGGTTTGCACACTTGGCTGGTAACTCAAAAGTTGACAGTTCAAATTCACCCAGCAGTGCTACGGAAGAAAGGCCTGGCTGTCTCCTTGTGTATGATCACAACCACTAAAAACCCTCCGGAGCACTTCTACTCTGACCCCCATGGAGTTGCCCTGAGTTAGAATGGACTCAATGCCAACAGGTTTGGGTTTGGAGGTGTTTATTTTATGTTTTTGTTTATGTGCCACAGCCTCCAAAAAATCTTCCTAAAACTTAGAATTGTACATGGTACATATCCCTCTTAATTCTATGCCAAGTCATCTCTTAGGATTCAAAGTCCCCACGCCTAACAGCATACAGGTCCCTTTAAGATCTGGCCCCACCCACAGCTCTGCCTCTACGTTGAACTCACTAGACTTGGCACTTTCAGAACACACCATTCTTTCATTTGGCTGAACAGTATCTATCACAGAACGTCTTCTTCCTGGGCTGACTCTGACTAGTTGCCCAATTTTACTCAGCCTTTCAAATTCAGCTTGAACAACTTTTTCTGGTTACCTGGTTACCTTCCCTGACACACACCCTCTAAACAAAATTAACACCCTCCCCTAAACTCCCACTGCACCCTGTGCAAACCTTTCACTGCAACCATCGAACCCACTGCTGTCTACTCAATTCCAACCCACAGTGATCCCACAGGGCAGAGAGGAACTGCTCCATGGTGTCCCAGGATGGTATCTTTATGGAAGAATACTGCCACATCTTTCTCCCATGCACCACTGGTGGTTTCAAACCGCTGATCTTCTGGGTATCAGACAAGAACATACCCACAGTACCCCCAGGACTCCAGGCAACCAGCACAGCCGACTCTCAATGATCCCTTCACTTAAGCTGTCTCTCCCAGCTGGTTATAATTAAAACAAGGCCACATGAGCCAAAATGTGATCTTGAGTATAGCCCAGCAGAATTTAGAGACCATCACAAGAAGAGATTTGGTGCATCAGACACTAATGACCTAAGACCAGATGAGTTGGGAGATGACGTCTTGAACAACATTCAGGAAGAAAGCAAAAGGTCATTTAAAAGACAGGAAGAAGAAAAGGCCAAAGTGGATGTCAAAAGAGCCCCTGAAACTTGCTCCTGAATGTAGAGAAGAGAAAGCAACTAGAATGATGAAGTAAAAGAGCTGAACAGAAAACTTCATGAAGATCAGCTTAAGAAAACAAAGTATTACAATGAAATACACCAAGACCTAGAGTTAGAAAACCAAAAAGAACAAACTCAGAATTTCTCAAGCTGAAAGAACCAAAGAAAAACTTAAGGTCCTTGACCTGCAAAACTGAAGGAAATATTGAAAACTGGGGAAAATATTGAAAGATGCAGGAAGCATTAAAAGAAGATGGAAGGAATACAGAGTCACTGTACCAAAAGGAAATGGTTGGTGTTCAGTCATTTCAAAAGGTAACATATGATCAAGAACCAATGATATTAAAGGAAGAATTCCAAGCTGCACTGATGGCATTGATGGAAAACAAAGATCTCGGAATTGATGGAATACAAATAGAAATATTTCAACAAATTGATGCAGCACTGATGTGTTCACTCGTCTATGCCAAGAAATATGGAAGACAGCTATCTAGCCAACCAACTGGAAAAGATCCATATTTGTAACCATTCCATAGAAAGGTGACCCAAAGGAATGTAGAATCCATTGTGATCACATGTAAGTAAAATAATCATTTGGCTCAACAGTATAGTATTACACAACATCTTCTTCCTGGGATGACTTTGACTAGTTGCCAAATTTTACTTAGCTGAAGACAATTAAAATTCAAGCTGAATTAAGAAGAGGATGTGGAACTAGGAATATCACTGCAAATATCAGATGAATCTTAGCTGAAAGCAGAGAATACCAGAAGATGCTTACTTATGTTCTGTTGCCTATGTAAAGTCAGTCAACTGCATGAATGATAATAAACTATGATAACAATTAAAAGAATGGGTAATCCAGAACACTTATTTGTGCTCATGAGGAACCTGTACATAGACCAACAGGCAGTCGGTTAAAACAGAACAAGGGAATACTGAATGGTTTAAAATCAGGAAAGGTTTGTATCAGGAAAGGATTGTATCCTTTCAGCATACTTATTTAATTTGTATGCTGAGCAGATAATCTGAGAAGATGGATTTCATGAAGAAGAACATGGCATCATATTGAAGGAAAACTCATTAACCTGCGATATGCAGATGATATAACTTTGCCTGCTGGAAGTTAAGAGGACTTGATGTACTTACTGATGAAGATGAAAGAATATAATCTTCAGTATGGGTTGCAACTCATTGTAAAGAAAATGACAAATCCTCACAACAATCCTCAAAATAACATCACAATAAATGATGTTATCGTGAAATTATCAAAGACTTCATTTTGCTTGGAATCACAATCAACATGTATGGAAGTAACAGTGGAGATCAAAGACCATATTGCATTAGGCAAATAATGCTGCAAAAGACCTCCTTCAGAGAGGATGACATGGAGAGATGGAGTGGCTGGGAACTCCAGACCCAAAGAGGAAGAAGGGGCTGTGTGCTGACGACCAGGGGGCAAGCTTGCGGGGTGTACCCTTTGGTTGGTTGATGATGCATGGAGGGGACTGTAACCAAGGCAATGTAATGGTATACAAAAGGATGAATGTAAACCTAATGTTCTCCCATGTAAGCTATCACG